CCACCCTTTTCTTTATTCTGAACTTTTGTAGTAGAGAGAGGTATTTTAAGTCCTTAACTATTGCTCAGCTTCTCCAGCCTTTGCACTGCCAACTGTGCTGACGGCATTCCTTTCTAAATTCCCTCATAAAAAACACAAGCAAAACTCATACAAACACAAATGAAGCATTCTCTTCCATAAGCATAGTTGCAAAAAAACAGAAAGTCCGGTCTGAAGCAACAGCCAGCGTACTCCTTGTTGCTGTTTTTTAGATGAGTCAGCCTCGATGATGGGGATCCATGACTCAATATGCCTCTCGGTTACCTTAAGGATAACGCAGAGTCACATTCAGTCATCCAAAAATGTTCCTTTGTAAGGAACATCAGATGAGGCATAAGGATTGTAAGCTGTTCATATCAGTCAGAGCTACAGATTACAGAACCTGGAATAGTAGCTAAATGGTTCCCCGGGGAAAAAAGAAATCCCCAGTATAATTTACAAGAAAATTCCATAACTCTAGAAAGGGAATCAGTCTCTTGAACTAAAGTTTATCATTTAAAAGAAGAAAAATCCTATCTGAGTTTTGATTAGTACAAAACTGTTACAGGTGTAACAAGATGGCTTCTGCACAGTGATGGCTTGTTTTGTATTTACTTACTCTACACGAAACAAAAGTGTGTCATGTTTCCCCAAAAATAAGACAGGGTCTTATTTTCTTTTGACCCACAAAATAAGTGCTTGGCCTTATTTTTGGGGAAGTCTTATTATTTTTGAGGTTCAGGAGGCAGTGAACGTGGTCACCTCATGGCTGCTGCTGCGCTACAATATTTGGGGGAGGGCTTATTTTCAGAGAAAATATTAGTATTATTTTCGGGGCTTTTAATGCATGTGCTCAAAAAAGCCTGTTTGGGAAAGACTTAATTTTGGGGAAACAAGGTACTTCAAGGATATTAGTTTATATTCAGGTATATGTCATTCTATCTAAACTGATCCCATAGTACTAGAACAGGGTGTCAAACTCAAGGCCCAGGGGCCAGATTCAACACATCAGGTACTGTATTTTTCAGAGTATAAGATGCTCCAAAGTATAAGAGGCAAAATGCGTCCCAGCAATTGGCCTCCTTGCAGCAAACAGTACAGACAATATACACTGTTTGTAGTGTTATATTTCAGACTATACTGTGTTTCCCCCAAAATACAACCTATCCTGAAACTAACGCCTTGCCACATTTTTCACATGGGCAAAAATATAAGCCACCCCTGAAAATATGCCCCCTGGACAGATACCTCCCTCCGGCCAGGCAGAGCACCGCTCACTGACCTAGTGGTATCGTGAAGGTGTCAAGCCATGGGAGCGGGGGGGGGGAGCGCTCACTTTGCTTGGGGGGCAGGGGGGCTCCCGAAAAGCCAGGCACAGCCTCAAGAGCGAAATCGCCATGAGGTGACCAGACTTACGAGCAGCCGCCTGGCAAACCCCCTCTCCAGCCAGGCAGAGTGCCATTCACTGACCTAGGGGGTATCCCTAAGGCGCCAAGGCATGTGGCACTCTGCCCACTCTCCAGTTCCCGTGGCTTGACACATTAGGGATACCCCCTAGGTCAGTGCATGAGCTCTGCCCAGCTGGAGAGGGGGGTTGTGCGAGTGCCTGTTCCGCCCCCAGCAAGCATGCCTCCCAGCCTCACCATGCCCTGGCCCAGCTCTCCCTGCCGCCACCACACTCCGAGCATAACTTCTTCTCTGGCTTCCAAACTCCAAAACTCGGCTGCCGAGTCTTCCAGCAGCGGCCGCTCTAGGAGTGCACTCTATGGTTGTGGGCTGGTTGCTGGAAGACTCTCTGTCTGGAAGACTCTGTCCAGAATACTCTCTGTCCGGCAGCCAGCCCACAACCATAGAGCGCACTCCTAGAGCGGCTGCTACTGGAAGACTCAGCAGCCGGGTTTTGGAGTTTGGAAGCCAGAGAAGAAGTTATGCTCGGACGTGGAAGTGGAGGCACCCTGGCCTTGCAGGGAGAGCTGGGCCAGGGCATGGTGA